GTCCAGTATAAATATGAGGCTTACAATAATGCACTATAATAATAATCATGTGCCAGCAAGTCAATTCTGACATACAGCAACCCTTTTCTGGTATTTCTAGGTAGAGAGTACTCAGAAGTGGTTTGCCATTCTCTTTTTCAGGAGGCATTCTGGGGCTGTGCAGCTTGCTCGAAGTCACACAGACTGGTTCTTCTTGGATGCACAGTGGGGAATTAAACTCCCAACCTCCAGCTCTGCAGCCCGATATACTACTAGTTCAAAAAAGTGAATGAAGTGACAAAGCATCTCTGGAAAACTAGAATATGTCAGCAACTGATAGATGTTTAATATGACACACAATTACAAAACAATCTACTATTCAGGAAAAAACCCTATTAGCATCATTATCTTACAACTACATGTGATGGCACTGTGGGTTAAACTGCAGAAGCCTCTGTGCTGCAAGGTCAGAAGATCTGCAGTCGTAAGATCGAATCCATGCGACGGAGTGAGCACCCGTCACTTGTCCCAGCTCCGGCCAACCTAGCGGTTCAAAAGCATGCAAAAATGCAAGTAAATAAATAGGTACCACCATGGTGGGAAGGAAACGGCGTTCTGTGTCTAGTCACTGGCCACTAGACCACAAAAGATTGTCTGCGGACAAACGCTAGATCTATGGGTTGGAAATGGAGATGAGCATCGCCCCCTAGAGTCAGACACGACTGGACAAATTGTCAAGGGGAACCTTTACCTTTACCTTACAGAGCTGGAAGGGGCCTATGGATCGAGTCTAGTCCTTGTCACAGGAGAATATTATCAAGATTCCCTTACAATTTTCCTTCTAGTTTTCCAAATTCCTAATAACATGAAAAATCAGCTGTCACATGAAGTTGCAATTTAATTTTGCCTAATGAGAAAGTCTGAAACAAATTCTGAGATTCCTATTCAGAATTTCTCAGGGTTTGTGTTTGTCCCCATCCTGTCTTTACCCACGTTAACTGGGAACCATACACAAATAAAAGAAAGATGCTTCAAGTGCTCGAGGTTTCACACAAGCGATTTAAATGGTAAACAGCAGATGTCCATTATTACTAGACCATATGCTTGCATGACGTGTGTTAAAATAGTCCACTCTCTCTGTGTCCTTTGGGCCAAACCAGCAACATCCTGCAGACCACAGTATTAAAGCTTCAGCTACATAGCGTGGCAATATTGTCTGACCTCATTCTGTAACTAATAATGGAAGCAGTCCTACAAAGTTTTGCCCCTTTGCAAGGACTACACATCAAGCAATTTACTTTTTAATTATTAGAGCTATACTTTAGTAAAGAAAAAGCATTCTTAGGAGCCAAGACATCACTGATATGAAAATCAAGGTCCAAAATAGCCCATCAAGTCACACATTATTTGGTAATCTTGGGTTTTGTTCAAAAACTGTTAAGATAACAATGATCCAAGTATTACAGTCATTTGCCATCACAGAGTAGCAATTATTCTGGCTCTGTTCAAAACAGTTCTGTTTTATGAAAATAAGTTATTCCGCCTTTTAAAGTATTTACACATTAGCAAGTCAAAACACTGAATAACTGCCTGAAAGTCCACTATTCTTTAAAGTCTGAACATCACAACTGAAGTAATTTCTTTAAAAGCTTGAAAGGGGGAAAAAAAGAAAACAGGGTGTATTATACATTTGTCATCTACTTAATAAGATTCAGTTCAGGAGCTGTTAAACTGCTATATGACACTGCACTTGTATTATATTACATTTCTGGTAATGGAGATCAAGCTGCTCCAACGACCTAAATCCAGCAATGAGCAAACTCCTACTGTGAAATAATGTGTTCAGAACAGATCTGCTCTATGAAAATAATCTTCTAACTGCCAGTCATCCTCCATTGCACAACCAGAGGACTATGGGGTATGTGACAGCCAGACAGAACCTACTCCTTGTGTGACTGCTATTACACAAGAACAAAGTAACAAGATTCTGCCCATTGTATTTTTGGGTATCACTTACTACAGCAAGACTTCCCTTCTGTCAACCTGTAGTTCTCAACAAGACCTAAAAGGCCTCCCAGGGCAGGTATGGAGGGCATAAAAGAGCTGCTGCAGCTGAGGAAAGATTGCCCCAATTTTCATTCTGTTGATGGAAGTGGTTCCACTAGAAGGGAAACATGCACTGAATCCAGGCCAAAGTTATTTAGCAGGAAATCAAGACAGACTTTTTTTTTAAAATGAGAACTGGCTCTCTGGAAGCCACATGTTGGAGGATACAGAGAAAATATTAACACCGTCTTTGCCATCAAAGTTGATTTATTTTATAGGTTTGTTTTCACATGTAGTGAAGTGACAGGATAAGGTGGAAAATATCGCATCTCAAAGGGCTGTTTACCTGCATATGAATTAGTTAGTATCATATCCACCTATCCAACCCCAACAAACTGCTGTAGCAATTAATGGAAAAGCATAAGCCTTAGTGTAAGTTCCTACTCACTGCAAATTTATGGAAAGAGTCACAAATGTAAAATAAGGTCTTAGATTTAAAATCCCTATGAAGCTTACAATAGTCACTCCCTTTTACCTCAGCCTACTTCATGAAGCTGTGGCAAGTATAAGAGGGGGAAGAGAATAACATATCCTGTATTTTGAGCTCCCAGGGAGAAAGAGAGGATATTCTGTAACAACAAGCAACAGAGCGGTTGAAAACTATCAACGTATGCATCTCAAACTGTGAATTATGATAGCTTTGCTGATAAATAGTAAACAAAAAACATTAAGCAAAAACATCCAATTCCACTGCCTAGTGTGAACTTAGTAGTTTATCTTAATGCTTGTCCTTACTGGACAGACAAGTAAGGACTTCAACTTAAGCCAATTTTCTCCCAATGACTTCAGAAGAGTTAAGTAGTCTTAAATCCAGGTACTTTAGCTTAACTGCGCTGTTGACCAGCTTCCAGAGGACAGACAAGTACCACCACTTTGATGATCACTAAAACAATTAGACACACAGTATTATGTCTTGATTTCTGATACACCACCCCTCCCCCAAAACCAGCAACAGTTCTTACTTTTTTTGTTAACAGAAATACGTTTTCAAGAAATCCCAACAATATAAAAATGGCCTTCAGAAGATGCAAAAAACAGAAAGAAAAAAAAGAAACTGTCATGTGGTCCATGTGCAAAATCTTAAGTCAGGATTGGATAATACTATTAATTATATGTCATCAAGTCAATTCCAAATTATGGTGACCCTTTCCAGGGTTTTCCACATACAAAGTGTATTCTGAAGTGATTTACCGTTCCCTTCTTCTGGGGGAAAGCTAGATAGCTCAGTAGTTTAGGTATCTGGCTGCAGAGTGAGACGCTGGGAGTTTGATTCCCCACTGTGCAGTCTGTGCAGTTTGCAGCAAACTGCACAGTCCTAGAATGCCTCCAGGAAAAGGAAAGGGCAAAGCACTTCTGAGTATTCTTTACCTGGAAAGCACTGAAAAAGGGTCACCAGAAGTTTTGACAGCACATGATTCTATTCTTTTGGAACTGTGCAGTTTGCCCAAGGCCACAGAGACTGGCTTTTGGGGGATGTAAATGAACTCTCAGCCTCTGGCTCCAGTCATCAGCCAGGCATTGCAGAGCTGTTGAAGAGTGAGAAACAAAAAACAAAGGAAGAACCACTTTCAGAACACGGCCAAGAAGCCCGAAAAACCCACAACAACCAAAAACAAATCTCACAGTCATCTTGGCTAGCTGGTAAAGCTGCTGGATCTATACTTAAAGTTCCAAAATGGAAATCTTAAACTAAAGACGTGGCTTTAGCTGTGTTGGCATTAGAGTTTTCCTCCTGAATGAAGAATCCATTCTTTCTCCATCTCTAAAAACAAACTGCAAGTTACATAATGAATTCTCCATTGCCTTTTACACACAATGCCTGTGTCAGAAAATCTTGGGGGGGGGGAACACAAACATAGCATTCCACCTTGCTTGAGTGACATCAGGAAACATTGGTAGGGTATCAGGATGGAACATGCTATGGAGCGGTAGCTGAAAAGCATTATGAAGAAACACCTCAGTACCACTGTTAGTCATAAAATTAGGTCCTTTTGTGATATCTACTAATAGCATTCTTCAAGTGTTGGCACTTATTTAGCCTAATTAGTGTTATCTGTGTTTCCAATATAAGTATTAGAAGATTGTACAATTTTCAAAATAACAAAAAAAAAGAGGGGGAAAAATTTAAAGGGGAAGGGAGATTAATTCTCCAACCATTCAGTGAAGACTCACTGATAGGGAAAGGTATACAAAACCAAAAAGGAAAAGGAAATGAATATCCTGGTGGGAAAAAAAACGGTTGGCTGGAACCCTCAACAGAAGCACTCATCACTGCAACCTTTTGTTGCAGATCCTACTTCTAGGCTCATAAGCTTCAACAATTTTTGTTTCTTTTACAAAACATCTGACTCCTTTCTTCAGTTCACACCAGCAAGGCAAGGTGTCCCCAGGCTCTTCCAAATCTGGTTTTTCTGCACCCGACTTCTAATTAACGCCTATTAACCTGAACAGCAAGGCACCCATAGGTAAGCACTGTACGAGGCAAACGAATTATGAACCAAACTACGTGAGTTAAACGCAGAACATAACGTTCAGACTGATCCCTACACAAAACCAGAAGGTTGTTCCAAGATTCAGGAATCGAGGTAAACTTCCACACGGCTTAAAACTTTTCTTTAATCTGGCCTCAACATTCCTCAGGGCAGTGCTGGGAAAGAACAGGGCTAGTAAGGTCAGAGAGAGAGAGAGAGAGCAACAAGCAGGAAAAGGGGGGCCCGTCGACCCCTGTACCAGTGTTTGTGGGGAAGGTGGCGCGGATTCGTCTCCCCCATCAATCCGCATTCTCACCAGCCTTCTCCGAGCTCAGGATTCATTTGACTCTCAGGCACTACGGAGGACCTCGACCGTCCCGCGCCCCTTTCACCCATGTCAACATGCCGCTCTCCCTCCCCGTATCGCCCACCGCCCGCTGTCACCTCTCTCCAGCCTCACGGGCTCTCCCAGCGCCGCCATCTTGCTTCCTTCCCTCCTCCTCCTCCTCCTCCTCCTCAGCGGCTCTAAGGGAAATGACGCCCGGCGGAGGCGGCGACACGAAAAGGCCGCGAGAGCACGAAGGAAGATGGCGACCTCAAAGCCCCTGGACTGGCTGGCTGGCTCTGCCTGCCCTCCGCGCCGGTTTCGTGCTCTCCTTTATGCGTCCCCGTTGGTTTAACGGGGCTGAGTCGGTGCTGTGCTATTTCTGCGCCTTCCTCCGAAGCCTTCACTCCGAAGCGCGCCTCGGCTGGCTGGCTGGCTGGCTCTGCCTGCCCTCCGCGCCGGTTTCGTGCTCTCCTTTATGCGTCCCCGTTGGTTTAACGGGGCTGAGTCGGTGCTGTGCTATTTCTGCGCCTTCCTCCGAAGCCTTCACTCCGAAGCGCGCCTCGCTGAACTCAGCAGGACCCTGTAAGCGAGGCAGCTTGTAGTTGGAAAGGCGGGCCGTTTGAAATGTAGAAAGGCCGTTCCTCCTGCCTCTGTTTTGCTGGTAGAAACGGAAACTTCCAACCGAAGCTTTCCTAGGCCAAAATCCGTGTCTCCCTAGATTGGAATAAGAGCTGGCACACTTACAATGTAGAGCCAAGCAATGCCAGAGAGGTGTGGGCACGTTCCTGTACACAGAAGGGGGATGGGGGAAGAGAGCCGGTGGTCGTTTTAAAAAATAAGTTATGCCTGAATCTGTATGCTTCTCCCTCCCGTGAAAACGTGGACATACCGATGCACCCTTCTTGCGTCTGAACTTCTATTCCAGGTAGACACAAAAGGTAGGATTTCCTAAAAGGAGAGGGGGGAACACACATCTCTTGTTCACCTGCAGTGAGTGGGCAGGAAGAAAACCACGACGTTATGAAAAACCGTCATAATTCCCATTCTAAATTATTCACATTGATAAAAGGCATAATTGGAGACGTTTAGCTTTCTTTTTTTTAGCTTTCTAAAAGTGTCAGGATTTTGAAACTGCAGCATCAGTGAATAAAAATCATAACTAGAAGTTTCC